GTCTTCCTCGCCCGAGCTGCCAGTGCCTTTGCTCAAGTTCCACTTTGGACCGAATGTGCTGGTAAAACCTTCGAGCGAGTCTTGATCACCTCCGCTGAGCATGATCTTGTGAAAGTCATTTTCTTCCTCGTCCTCGCCGTCCGTTTCCTCACTAGAGATGTTCAAGCGTCGCGCTGTCTCCTCCGCGAATGCCAGACGTTTGAGCGGCAGGCTGGCAGTACGCCTCGCAGTATTATATGTTGCCCCAATTCCTGTGGCCACATCCACGGCTGCGGCACCGGTGGTGGCGGCACGAGCGTGGATCGATGGACGGGATGGCCAAGCCGAACTTTGAGCGTTGTGCGCCAGCAAAGAAGGAGGGCTAAACGCAGCCGAATTAACGCGCAAGTGTTTGGCATGGTGCCAAGGTTTCGGGCGAATCCGCACCTGGTCACCACCAGCTGTATCAGAGTCTTCGGCTTCCTCATCTGGCTCGGCGAGCAGAGCAGCGCGAGTCGCTATCCCGCCACCATCCGAGTCGTAATCCATCGACGTGCTGTCCAGCACAGATGCAGCTGCACTGCTTCGCAGTATGCTCGACGAAGATGCCGACTTTTGCAGTTTTCGCTTCTCGGGCGATACACTGCGCAGTTTATCTGGCAAGCTGGCCTCGGGTGAAGCGGAAGCCTTGAGCTCGGAGCTTCCGCGATTGTTGCTAAGGCGCACCTTGATGCGCGGCACTACGGGCCGAGAGATGCTCGTCGGAGTCGGAGCCTGCGCGGGGGCGATACTGGGCTGCTGTGTCTGGGCAGGTGGCGAAGTGATGGTGGAAGGTGGTCGAGACATGCTGCTCGGTCTGTAAAGTTGGGGAACGATGACTGCGTCAGCCGCCTATCACGGGGAGTGCCACGCGAGACTTGCATGCCGCACAAAAACGCCACTCACTTTCTCTTCCGTTTGCCTGGACCCAAGTCTTCAGTGGGAGATTGTATCGAGCCTGTGGCGTCACTGCTCTCGATCCTGACCATTTTCTCAGAGCTTCCTTCAGCGTTGGGCTGGGCCTGTGGGGTACTGAGGCGCGTGGACTTCTTGCTCGACGTACTTTGTGGTACAGAGCTAGTAGCTGGAGTCGCAGAAGCCTTTTCAGACGCTTTCTTCAAGCTACCAGAGACGCGCAGCGCGCTTGATTCGGGAGAAAGCAAGCGACTGGGAATCTTGCGTGTCCTCGTAGTAGTGCGGCGCGGTGGAAGTGACGCTTGCTGTGCATTCATGGGCGCTACTGCTCCTCCCTGGTTGACAGTGCTGACTGCCATCAGTTCGGCACTCCCGGTAGCCTTGAATTCGCTAACCTGAGCCGAAGGTGTAGTGGACAAGGACGATTGTGGGCCTGAGGGTCGAACATTGTCGGAAGTGGAGATGCTGCTTGGGTGAGCGCCACCACTGGTGTTGGCGATCCGACGAGCATGAGCAGCAGCGCGAGTAAAAGCGTGCTCGGCGGTCATATTGCCTGCGATTGGCAGCACATCGAAGGCGACGTCGCAGCTGCTTCGTGGCGCCTCAGCGTCGTAGGGCTGTGCAGTGCTCTATGATATGCAGAACACCGAGCTCAGCGCAGGTCGAAGAGTGTTGACTGAAGAG